GGTGGCACACCAGCCGTCAGCTCCGGTGCACATGCGCTCACTGGCCAGCTGATTTTTCACATTTCCGGAGGGTCAGGGGAGGCCATTTTCACCCCCAAACCAGTTCCCTGGTCATCGCTCACTCACCCCGCCCCATCCAGTCTCTGCTCTGCAGCTTGCCTGCCTCAAGCGCTGCTCCCATGATCTGTCCGCCAGGTAAGCCTGCAAGCTACGGCTTAGCTAGCTGCCTCTGCCCCCTTCCCCGCGGCCCTGCCATGCTTCTCTGCCTCCCCCGCTGCCTTCCCTGCATCCCCGTGGCCAGCTTGCAAAGGCAGGCAAGCGTAAGGCCACGTGGAAGGCAGGGAAGCATGGCAGGACTGGGGGAAGGGAGCAAGCAGCCTACTCCCTTCCCTGTGGCCTTGCCATGCTTCCCTGCCTTCCATGTGTCCTTACCGGCGGTCCCCCATACCTGCTTGCCTTCTGAGGTCAGCATCCAGCCTGGCCTGGCCAGTGGGTGGGCAGGTGGCCCCTCCTGGAAATGCAGAAGCCTTGCTGGGGCTGAGCGGGGGAGGTGGAGGCAGCGGTGATGCTGCGGGAGGGCAAGCAGACATCCAGGGCTGCTGGAGCAGCCCAGGTCCCCCTGAGCTGGAGGTGGTGGTAGTTTCAAAGTCTCACGACTCCTGGACAGCCCATGTACATAGGGCTCTGGGCTGCCTCTGGTTGCGCCCGAGCTGGAGATGGTGGTTACATCGGGCTCCTGGGTGGCCCATGTATGCAGGGTGCTGGGCTGGCTCAGGTTGCACCCGAGCTGGAGGAGAAGGTGGTTGGCTCGGGGCTCCTGGGCAGTCCATGTGTGCAGGACGTCCGAGCTGGAGGAGATGGTGGTTGTGAGCCTCAGGGCTCCCAGGCAGCCCATGTGTGCAGGGCTCTGGGCTGGCTCCTGTTGCACCTGAGCTGAAGGAGACAGTGGATGCCTGGGGGTTCCATATGCGTAGGGTGCTGGGCTGCCTTCGGTTGTGCCCGAGCTGGAGGAGGCGGTGGTTGTGAGCCTCGGGGCTCCCAGGCAGCCCATGTGCACAGGGCTCTGGGCTGGCTCTGGTTGCGCCTGAGCTGAAGGAGATGGTGGTTGCCTGGGGGCTTCTTGGCGGCCCATGTGCGCGGGGTGCTGGGCTGCCTCCGGTTGCGCCTGAGCTGAAGATGTCAGNAGGGTGGGATTGGAAGGCAACTAGGTGAACCAAAAAGAGTGTAGCAATCCAGCAAGTACATCCAGCCTGGAGCTCAGCGTGGCTTTAAGCAGCAATTTTTGAACGGCAAACTCAAAACGCCCTCAGAACACAAAATGGCCATGGATGACCCACTGACTCCGTACAACCCAGTCACTGAGCACTGGGAATCGTATATGCTAAGGTTCAACTGCTTCCTCGAAGCCAATGACCTCATGGGCCTTTCTGAAGGCTGCAAGAAGAGCATGTTCCTGGGTTATTGTGGACGGGAAGTGTTCGAAACAGCCAAAGATCTATCTGAGCCAACATCACTCCAATCGGTCACTTGGTCAGTGCTCCAACAGATACTGAAGACACACTATGCTCCCAAGCCGTCTAAACACATCCGCCGGCACGAATTTAATATTCGCAATCAAAAGGAAGGCGAATTGATCAACGAGTACATTGCGGTGCTAAGAAAGGCTGCAGGGTACTGTGAGTTCAGAGACCTAGACGAACTCATACTTGACCGCATCATATGCGGTGTGCGGAACATTAATTTACAGAGATTACTTGCCAAGTCTAATCTCACTCTACAAATTGCCTTGGATGAAGCCAGGGCATCCGAATCTGCCGTTAAGTCTACAGAAACCCTGCAGCGCCAAAGCACTCCTCAAGGCACGTGGAAGAGCACACACGTACATCACGAGGCTACAGAGGCCAAGGGCTCAGAAAGCGAAGATGACAGCTGCCGCATGCACAGTGCCCGCATCAAGCCGGCACGCAAATTCAAACCATGTTTCCTGCCTTGCACAAGCTGCAGAGACCATGCCAGATTGTTTTGCCGTTTCCGTGACGCCATATGCCAGCGTTGCGAGCGAAAGGGGCACATCGCCAAGGTTGGCAGAAGCGAACACCCCACGATGACCTGGAAGCCCAGAAGCTGACCTAACCGCCAGCAGAGGCCCAACCAAGGGGCATGGCAGCCGCCACCATGGCGCTCAGAAGGCGACACCAGAGTCACCTATCATACCTCAATTGGCCAAGTCCACACAAGGCGGCCAAAAAAGCTGAAGGTTACAGTCCTCTTCGAGGGCTCTCCATGCAAGATGGAGATCGACACAGGGTCATCATTGACCATCATGCCGTGGTCTACACTCAAGCTTTGCTGCTGCTTCGGCTGCCATGAAACGGGGAGGGAGGGCATGGTATTTGGGAGGGGTTTACTAATTGT